GGGGGGCGGGGGGGAGTGGGTCCAAAATTTCTACCCTATACACTTCAACACTCCTTTCAGATCGTGTTTCACAAAATCAACAAAAATCTGCTTCGTCTACGTATTAATGACTCTATTTATCCAAGCAGACGTGCTACAGTAAAAAATGTTTTTTTTAGGGCAAGAAGAAGGAAGAAAATATATCAGAGTGTATATCGTACATAAGCCTTTTTAGGGGACAACGAAAAAAGAAATTGCTTTATAAAGAAAAATGAATTTTTGTAGAATTTTATGAAAGAGTATGTCTATATGATACATAAAAGATAAAGAATTTCATGTACTATCAAATGGTATAATTTCTATTATATAACTTATTTCTTTAGAGATAATAATTTTAAAAAAAAAAGAGAAAAACCAGCGAAAAGATGCAGATGTTTGGTACTCGTTAATTGAGGGTGTGGGTGTTGTTTTCTTTATTATCTCACCCCCACACACGCACGCGCACACCCACACCCACGAATTGCATTCTAGCAAAATCATCATCCAAAGAACTCACATCACTCAGTGAGTTTTTGCTGTTTTCTGTATCAGTTTCTTCAGACATGTAAATCAGCTCAGAACTTCAACTGTTCTGGTATACATGAGAGAAAAGAATCAAAGATAATGCGACGAAAAGAATGCAAAAGAAAAAAAAATCGAAATTGCGTTTCGTTATCTCGTTTCTACTGCGTAATGCATACGAAAAAGGAAGTAAACGTGAATAATTACTCAATGCGATGAGAAAGAGTATCATCTATGTAGCGATACAAACAAGAAGAGGTGTGGGTGTGGGTGTGGATGTGGGTGTGGGTGTGAGTGTGGGCGTGGGTGTGGGTGTGGGTGTGGGTGTGGATGTGGGTGTGGGTGTGGGTCTGGGTCTGGGTGTGGGTGTGGGTGTGGGTGTGGGTGTGGCTTTGGGTGTGGGTGTGGGTGTGGGTCTTTCTTTCATAAATACTCATACTCATACCCACACCCACACCCACACTCACACCCCACACTCACACCCACACCCACACCCACACCCACATCCACACTCACATCCACACCCACACCCAACACCCACACCCACACCCAACACCCACACCCACACCCACACCCAACACCCACACCCACACCCAACACCCACACCCACACCCAACACCCACACCCACACCCTCAAGTTGTTTGTATATGAAAAATAATTAAATGTTAGGCTACGACAAAAAAGGCTTTTTAAGAGCAGCATAAAGTTGGTCCGACATCTACTAATACCATTTCCCTAGTATTTCAAATAGAAATACGAAGTGATTAAGTTTATTTAATAATATGATAATAAAATGAATAGTTTAAGATAAGTTGATTAGTAATGAAATCAGTAAAGAAGACATAAAAAAGTATTAAATCATATGCAGAAATCTAACTATGAATTTTTAAATGTAATATATATTTCTTAGTTAATAATACCCTTCTCTGATGCACATCGACCAAAGTTTTCTGGTGAATACATTTCTTCAGCTTTAGCTGGTGAAATGATAAATGTTCCAGCACATGTTGTACGTATTACATAACTCCATTCATACACACCAGGCCATAATAATGATTGAAATGTTTCAGCACGTTCATCTCTGACGTTTTCATGTTCAATCCAAGTCATAATTGAATTTGGTCTACATCCACAATAATATTCATTTCTATTTGATCTTGTTACTGATGAATGTATGGGCGGGTGTGGGATGTAAGTATGTGTGCGGGCGTGAGTGAAACGTATATGCATATCCACACCGACACCCACCCACATTCACACACCCACACCCCTAGCTATTGCTGGTGGTGTGACTAATTCTATGCTTTATAATGGTAAGTAATGAAAAGATTTAAAATTATTTTGTTTAAATATAAATATATTCTAGTTGATGGTGATCATCGAGCTGTTATTTTTGATCGTTTTCAAGGTGTTAAACTAAATGTTATTGGAGGAACTCATTTTATGATTCTATGGCTTCATAGATCAATTATATTTGATATTCGTACACGACTACGGTCTGTTCCATCAATAACAGGAACAAAAAGGTATAAAAGCTAGAGAAAAACAGTTGACTTCAAGAGATAGGTAGCGTGAAGAAACTTCAGTACCGAAAATGTAAGCTCGCGAAAAAAGTGAAGGTAAATACAATATCTATTGAAACATCAATGGATGTATATGGTTGAGGTATCTTAAAAATTTTGTGGCCATCGATGGCAACCCAGCCGATCGGTTTACACCTCTACACTCATCATTCACCTATCCTAGGATACTTATAAAACCTAAAACCGGAAGTCTCCATTATTTTCTCTTCGTATAAATGAAACAAGCATAAATTACATTTTATTATTTTTATTTTAAATTTACAAACAATTAATATAATATTACGTATTCTTTATTGACCAAGAGCTGAACTTTAACCGAAAATTTTTACAAATTTGAGTTTAGATTATGAAGAACATGTTTTACCATCGATTACTAATGGAGTTCTAAAATATGTTGTAGTAAATCGCAGACACTTTTGTTTTTTGTTACTATGAATAATTAAATTGATTATTAGGCTCGATTTGATGCTATTGAATTGATTACACAACGTGCACTTATTTTTCAACGTGTTAGTGAATTATTAACAGAACGTGCTGCTCAATTTGGTTTATTACTTAATGATATTTCAATTGTAAGATACAACAGAAAAAACCAGTCTCGAGTTGATTATATATATTTTTTTCTTTAAATTAGACGCATTTAAGTTTTGGACCTGAATTTACAAGTGCTGTTGAACTAATACCAGTTGCACAATAAGATGCTGAAAAACAACGGTTTTTAGTCGAAAAAGTAAATAAATAAGAATAAAATTTGTATGATTTTCTTTTGATAAAAAAAACAGGCTGAACAAAGTCGTCAAGCAAATGTTATTGCAGCAGCAGGTGAAGCTGGTGATGGTAAATTTTCGAATATGTTTTATTATCTTGTCTTACTTTGTTTTAATATTCATCCTAGGTTTAATCGAACTTCAACGAATCGAAGCTGCTGAAGATATTGCAAATCAATAATCGAAATCAAGAGATATCGTCTATTTACCACATGGTCTTCAAATGTTACTTAACATTACTGGTGCTATGCAATGAAAAATATTGTTTTTTGTTTTCATAGGAAACTAGCGAGATTGGTTTAGGAAAATAAAAAGAACATATAAGAGTTGTTTTTTGTATGCGTGTGTATGTTTATAAACTATTGAGAATACTAAAGCATTGTATTGTCCTTGTTTTTGTTTGATTAAAAAAAAGAAGATCAGATCAACAATTCTCTAGTTGATATTAAAGATTCGAGTACGATTGAAATGATGAATTTCGATAATCTCTTTCGACGTTTTATATTAACTCAATCATTTGTACGTGGTTGTGGAAATCCATTTCATTTACAAGAAATTTTTACCTATCGACGTGAAAAAATTGGTGTACGAGATGAATGTTTAAAACTTGTACCAGCTGAAAATATACAAAAAAATACTGTTGAAATAATTAAACAAGAGATAAAAGATAATCAAAATTATATGAATGCTCGATTTCGTTCACCACTTGCTACACACCCACACCCTCATTGACCTTGATTTGCATTCGAAAATCGTCAGCATAACAAATAATATTATTATTTTGAGATTCTCAATACGTGGGTTGAATATTTTTGTTTGGCGATAAATCGATTTAATCATAAAAGGGTGTGAGTGTGGCTGTGGAGATACAGAGAAGCAAGCACCCACACCCACACCTTATTAAGTTTTTGTATTGGTTAGTCGATGTAAAATACATTATATATACATTCACTTATATACATACCGGTACGTATGCTTACATAGAAGATTTACATGCCACGATAAGTTTTTAAGATAAAAAAAAAATTCTATATATTTAATATTTATATTAATTGCCTATCGGCACAGAAATTTATATGTAGATAGTTAAAAAACAATAAATAAAAAATAAAAAAATCGCTTCTAGATAATATAAATTTGTTTAATTTTTTCCTGTTCCGCACACTGATGATACCAACTCGAGAGAAGCACGATTTCTTACGGGAGCAATGGTTGAAGGATCAGGCTTATTTTACTAAACCTTCATCCTATTATAACACTCTAACAACAATAGTGACCACGAGACCGACGACACCGACAACCCGATTCTCCATAGAATGGCAACCACTAACAACTACCACGGCTAAGTGTCTACAAATCATACAAGAAATATAAATCAAATGCTTTTAAAAAAGCTCAGAAAAATTCTCTATGGTAATGCTACAGATAATGAGTGTTCACAGAAATTTACAAAAAAAAATAGATAGTGAACGCTTGTATCCTATCTTAATACTCATTATGACATTTTTGGTACTAATCGTGCTATTGGCAACTCTACATTATATTTTCCAACGGAAGCCAAAAAAAATTTTCTTTGTTGAAAAACGACCTAAGAATAGCCATGATTTAGTTGCTTCTATGACAGCATTATTTACAAAAAAGAAATATTCTATGTCAATGCAAAACAAGCAAAGGTTTTTACCATCAAATGGAAGTGATCAGTAAAAAGATAAAAAGAATAATTTCTTTTTCTCTCTAAGACAGAAAATAAACTTATATTAGCATGGTTATCATTGAACCTATTTATATTTTATAGATTCTGATCCAGAATCAAAATGAGCCGTCTGTTTACTATTCAACTGTCCCATACATAAGGCGTTATGTAAATCCAAAACATCGCTTGTCCTATGTATGAAATTTTACTTTGTAATAGACACAATTTAATATTTGTTCATGTGTTTTTTTTCTTCTCTCATCTATTCAATTAGTTTGACTGTTTTATGCTTGAATAAATACATTCTGTTTACCGGCATATGCCATTATTCCTCTATGGTTGAAACAATTTATGATGTTTTTTCAATTCTTCTGATTTCGTTTTAGATGAATTCATCAATATTTCAAAGTCAAATAGAATCTTCTTTCGATCAATGAGGGTTATTCACATTTCGCTTATAAGCCACCACCCAATGAAAAGAAGGAACAATATATGTTGTTTGTTGCTAAGGGCGGTTCTTCTTCTTTGATTTTTTCACTACATGTTCATTTCGTTTTCATATGAAAACGAAATGAACATGTAGTGAAAAAATCAAAGAAGAAGAACCGCCCTTAGCAACAAACAACATATATTGTTCCTTCTTTTCATTGGGTGGTGGCTTATAAGCGAAATGTGAATAACCCTCATTAGATCGGCTAAATTTACGATATCAACGAGAAAATGTTTTGAAAAATCAACATTATCAAGATTTAGTTCATCGACATTATCCACATTACAAATTATGTGAACCACCACAGAATTATAATTTAATCTTTATACATAAGCAGACATCAACGGAAATTTTAAATCATGTCATTTAGGTAGCTTTTGATACATATAACTTTATTCTTGATACACAACACGAAATGGAACCATGTCCATGGGCTAGTAAATCTATACCATCATTAATATAAATATCATTCAATTCTTTTAAACATTCACCACTGATTCTTGTTGAAGTTTTATACCTCAAATCTACTTTTACAACAAGAACACACAATTATACTAAAGAACAAAAAATAAAACAACTATTCAAACAAATTTTTTCACCGAATAAATATGTATTTGCGTGGGGTAATCCAAAAGATAAGTTATCATAATTTTATCAATACGAATTATTCACCGAAAAGGACTTGAACCAATTAAATTTAATTGATCTCCATGAACGTTTTCAAGATTGGTATAAACTGATGTTTCCATGTTCATTAGGTCATCAAATGCGATCAAAGAATGAACCATATTCATTACAAACAGCTCTTTTTCTTGTTTTTGATGAATGGCTTAATACACGAATGCAATATACTTTATGGAATTGTGGCATTGATACTAATTTAAAAACGTACCATTGTAAATTTTCGTCGAATTCAAACAATAATTATTATCAATTTATTCGAGAAGAAATTCATATCGTCAAGAAATGCAAATTTATGCCGTTTCCAATTGTTTTGCAATAACAAAATTAATGAATTTGATGTTAAAACAATATCCATTAAGTGAGAACAAAACTTTTTCACCATCTCAAATTATTCATTATAAACGGAAGAAAAGACCTCAATCATTGGTGTAACTAAAAATATATATTTGTCTGTTTTATTTTTTTTCTTTGGCTAATAAACTATGAATATATATATGATTTAAATTTCTACTTACTATTCTAGATTACAATACATATTACACTACTTACACTAGACTTCTCAATATGGCAACGAAATCATCTTATCGAAAATTAATTGCTCTTAGTCAAATTCTTCAATGTGTATCTGATGCCACAGTAGATGATGAAATTCAAATGGCTGAAACTATGGCAGTGATGGTAATAAAAATTATTTTGAGCGTTTTCTTTTCATTACTAAGTTCTTTTTCATTTTGTTTTATAGAAGGATAATAAAGAAGAATTACAACGGTTTATTATTCGTGAAATATTTCAATTGTTCGATTAGGTCGATGGTGTTGCAAAATTAAAACCAGCATTATATCCTTGTGAAAGAATCAAGATATAACTTTTAAAATGTACTTATATCAGCATTTTGTTGTTGACCTTGTTTTTTTTTCATCTTGTTATATCTATGTCCTTGTAATTATGGTTCTTTGTTCATATGACATATATTAT